GATGTTGACTAGCTACCTTCTCTCTAAGCTATCACTTCACAATTAAGGGGCCCGGCATGGCCAGGTGGTTAGGGCGCTCGACTCGCAATCTGAGGGTCGCGGGTTCGAATCCCCGTCCCACCAAACATGCTCGCCCTTTCAGCCGTGGGGGCGTTATAATGTGACGGTCAATCCCACTATTCGTTGGTAAAAGAGTAGCCCAAGAGTTGGCGGTGGGTGGTGATGACTAGCTGTCTTCCCTCTAGTCTTACATTGCTAAATTAGGGACGGCTAGCGGAGATAGCCCTCGTATAGCTTTGCGAGAAATTCAAAACAAACAAACAAACACAATTAAGGACTAGAGCAAATAGTCCTCGAGTAACTTTGCATGAAACTCATAGCAAACAAACAAACACATGACAGATTTCGTTAAACAGACAATTAAAGAAACTGTCTTTATTAAAACGCTGCTACAAAGGTACCATTGAAAGTTGGAAATATCTTTGCTCTTACCAACTGCCTTGCAAACGTATTAAGATATGACTACATCTCGGCATCTGCTGAGATCAAGCTACTACCTGAAACATCACATGATAACTCAATTTTTCGTATGCAAATAAATGTATATTTTTTGGGGGGATGGGTGGCTGGCAGTCGTTGTATAATACAAATTTAACCTTATTTCAATAACGTTGTGATAAAATACATCGAAACCCTTAGATGTTACATGCTGCCGTTATGAGAACATTAACGTAAAAAATATATTATTATTAAAACTAGGCGCTACTTTTATTCATATTAGTGTTTAAAAATCAACTTATATTTTTATTCATTTATTAAAAACCAATTGAAAGCTGACTTCAATGCAATCCATTGAAATATGTAAACCTAAAGTTATTTTAACTTTAGAGACTTTGTTTCGAAGTTCGAAGTTATTCAATGAGTAGTTACACAGTTTAGGTTTAACAGCTCATGAATCGTTCTTTTAAAGCTGTGAATTTTTTTTTTAAAGCTCAAATGTTATCAACCATTGTTTGAAAATAGTTTGAAAGAATAACCTTGAATGTGATTATACTTACAATACATTACTAATTGACTTATCTTCTTTTTTTTTAGTCATTTATTCATAAGCTATGATCGTCAAATAATACTCTTAGAGTGAGAGTTTCACAATGGATGAGCACTTAGTTTACTGATGTACAATGTTAAAATCCGGTAGACAGAGTGCAAATAGCTTATTTTGTAGTTTTCCACTACAAAACTGTCACAACTAAAACGATAAGAATTTTTTTTAAAAGTAGAGAAAAAACAAGTTGCTTTATCATAACCTTTTTAAAAGATGATACAAAATCTGTGACTTTAAATATCAGATGCTGAGCGGTAGGCTTGAGGGCTTATAACGCTTGTTTGTTTGTAATTATGCACAAAGCTACACAATGGGCTATCTGTGCTCTGCCCACCACGTATATCGAAACCCAGTTTCTAGCGTTGTAAGTCAGCAGACATACCGTTGTGCCACTGAGGGGCATATAATACGCTAAAAGTCAGGTTTCGATAATGAAATGGGCACAGATAACCCATTATGTAGCTTTGCGCTTTACAACAAGCAAACAAACAAAACATTTACAGTAATGATATGGTTACCTTTAAAAAACAAACATAATTAGTTATAAATAAATGTATTTAAGATGAAAAAGTATGCATTTCCCCCTTTAATAGTAATTTTTTATTTTAAGAATGATCAACACTTATTTCATTGGCTATTAGGCGTAGTATGACAGACCAATAAGCGCCATTTTTTATTGTAGCTTAACAAACAAAATAAACTTTATATACCCGGTAAATCAGAATAATGTTTTTCCATTCGAAATATGCCCCAGTAGCTCAGAGATAAGACTGAAAACGCTAAAAACTGAGTATCAATACCCGTGGTGGGCACAGCAAAGATAGCCCATTGTGTAGCTTTGCACTTAACAACAAACAAACAAAACCATTTAAAAACATCCTACACTCATTACAAGGAATCAGAGAGGTGGCAAAGATATAGCCTGGCAGTTGTTCCTTAAGAATTAAATAGTTATGTTTACAGTTAAATTGTACTAGAATACTTTTGGAAGGAAAGTTTGGAAATATGCTGGCAGTGTTGAAACAACAAATATATATATATATTGTTACGTCTCCGTTTGTTAATTAACTTTCCGTAACTTCGTTCCGATGAAACTTTAGCGACACAAGTCCTTCGTATGGTTTCACAACAGTTACAAGAAACATTAATATGTTTTTCAACGCAAAATAACATCCAATTGAGATATTTTTGTGTTAACAAAAGCATAGATCACATGAACATACAAAAAAGTTAACAAAATTCTCGAAATGAAAGACGAAAATAACAATGAAGAAACACTTGTACATAATAAGGACTTTATTATATCAAAGTAAGATTAATTAGGAAGCTGAGACGTATGCAGTATGAATATATTTTCAGAGAAGTGATTATTAGAACGAAACAAAGAGAAAGAACAGGCATTAAAATTAGAGTATATATACCTACCTATCTAGCTACTGACTAGTATACATACAAATAAAGTGCATGTTTGGTGTGGTTGTTTTCACAACATTGACTTTGTTTTTCTTTGTGGAAAAGAGAAAAATTTATAATACATTCAGTCATGGATGAAAAGCAAAGTACCTAGATCTAGGCCAGTCAAGACGCACCGTTTCGCTTCCTGTTCAAAATAGTACTGCCATTTTAGGTTTGACCAGATAAATACCGCAGTTGCCAAAGAACTGTGAAACTTCTTTTTCATTTCTTGCACACATTGTATAGCGAGTCTTCAAACCCCTTAAGTGACTGGTGATTGTGAGTGACATTGTTTTAAAACCAGTGAAACTAGTAAAAGTAAAACTTTCTGGTTAGAACAAATTGTTTCCCTGTAACAAAAAGACCAGAACACTCGTAGAACGATTTGTTGTCATGGTGAGAGTAAAAGATGGAGTTTCTATTTTGGACTATGATTCAGACTTTCATAGTTCCCTAGGCTCAGAATTTTGTCCACCGGTGGGTTTTTATATTTGATTCTCTTTTTCTCTCCATTGCTAATGTACTTTGTTTGTAAAGTAAAGAGTGTAATATAAATTACAGCGCATTACTGTAACAATAATGCAGTCTTAGACTGAATTCCATTTACTCAAATTTTTCAATTTTGGAAATGAAAACAATAATTTCAATCTTTTTAAACACATTTATACAATAAATAATTACTTTGGAAAACAATAATTAGGTTAAAAACTACTAAAAACACCTTACAGACAGTCCATTAGAATGCATAAAAGAAAAACTAATTAAATATTAACTAAGTAACAGAAGAATATTTGATTTAAAACTATCCTTAAATTCAAACGTTATGCAACAATGACTCGTAATGCAACTTATAGATTCTCCGCGTGCATAGAATAAAATTCACCATGCACATGCGTACATATTATGGTTTACTTGTTTTCTTATAGATTATGAGTACAATCATAGTATGAATACATAACCAATTTTCTTATGAAAATGTTAATCAGTCATCTGGTAAGGTGTGTCACCATATTTTGTGCTACTGCATTCATTCAAACTTTATAATATATTGATACACACACACACATATATTGTTAACTGTAGCTACAGTAACTGATAATGTTAAAAACATGTATATCAGTTTTCTATTAAAATTTGTGTTTGATTATCATTGACATTACAGTATTCAGTTGTTTAAATCCTATCCATGTTACCTTAATTAATAGAAAAAGAAAGAGATTGGGTTATCGTTTCTTTGAATTTAGTATTTAATATTCAATGCTTGTAATGATTGGCAACTTTTCGTAATTCTTTTTTTTTTTTTTTTGAGATTTTGCTACTATTTCATATGTTTAATATCAGGTGCAAGCCTGAATTAATGCACACAACATAGTCAGACTTTGTCTGAAACATATACATAAAAATATGCTAAACAATTCTATTTCATTCATGTTACTCAAAATTTGATCGCATGTATACTCAGAGAACAAAAACAGTATGGAATCGGTTTAAATAAGCTTAAAATCACTAAAAACAATTACCCTAACACTAGAAATAAGTTGTAGAAAAGAACGATAGTTCGTTTGTTTGAAATTAAACACAAAGCTACACAATGGGCTATCTGTTCTCTGCCCACCACGGGTATCGAAACTCGGTTTCTAGCGTTGTAAGTCCGCAGATACCACTGTGTCATTCGGAGGTAAAGAAGACGGAAAAAGGTCTAATTTCTTTAGTGAATTCAATGGCTTGTTACACATTCCCTGGAAAAGTAAAACGTATTCCCATTAAGCTCATGTAATAACCACAAATGTAAACTCCTTATTCGAAAAAATGACTATATCTAATTCTAAGTGCGCATATGCATTATGTACAATAAGTTAAACTTTTTATAATAGTTTTAATGACTTTTTCCAGACTTATCCGAAACGTTCTTCTCTACAAATAGCTAGAACTGTATCTGTAACGTTAGTTACAATGACATTTGTGATTGGTGTGTTTGTCTTATTGGGAGTTTATTTCCAACTTCGGCATTCTCAGTGTCAGTGTGGTCCTGAAAAGGTAAATATGCTTCTGTTATTTTCAGAATATATATATATGTTATATTTGAACATAATATAGCATAATGATATCGGCTAAAAGAAAAATAAATTCTGTATAATTATTTTTATTTTTTGGAGGTTCCTCTTAGGTTACTGAATTAAATCATCTGATCTTCTTGACCTTTTAACAGTCATCCTTGTCATGAAATACTTGATTAAGACTAATAAGTTTAATCCTTAATATTCAGAAGTTCGATAGGAAGATTGAAAATAATTTGGAGATTAAGAAATCGAATCCTCTGATATGTTTTTCAAATCTTAAGATAAAACTTATTTTAACGTCTTACAAATTACATTTTCAACACTCACTGTCAAGAAATAATGCAAGTGTGGTGAAAAAGTTTTAACATACATTTTTTTAGATATTGGAAGCACTTCCCTTAAAAAGTGTTCAACATGAGCCGAAGACCATTCATTATGACCCAGATTCTTTTCTGGCTGTTGCTAGTCGGTCTAATTCATTTAAAACGATTAATCCTGCCTCTCTTCGTCTTAAACTTGATGAAAACATTGGGGTAAGTTGAGGATGAGATAAATTTAACGTGAATAAATCTTTGAATTTATCAATTTTTAGACACTCAATATAATCATGAATATGTCACATGAGTCGCATTGTTGTGTTTTTGGTTACGTTTTGCATACTTATCAGTCGCAGATGGTATCTGGTCCAACTTTTATCTTTTGGAAACATCTTATAATTCTACTTATTTTGTTTACAACTTTTACAAACCAATTTAATCGCTTTGATTTCTTTATCTTAAAGTTTTGGTAGAACTCTGATATAAACTCAATATTTGATTTTAATTTATAATAAATATATTTCTTATCTTCTAGAAAAGGATAAGAAAGAACCACAAAGCTAGAGTAAACTGTATTATAGAGAAGAAGAAAGCCGTGGAAGTAATTGCTCAGAAATCTAAAACGGTAATTGTTTGTCTTTTTCTTTATTTTTATGGTTAGAAAAAAAAGCCCTCCACAGTATCATCATATCAACCATGCGTGATAGAACACTTTCTTCGCTGATATGCACCGAGGCAAGTTATGTTTGTAGCATTTAATAAGGCATAATAATTGAAGTATAGATTACATTGATCTTCACTCTGACCTTATACCATGGCTTTGATTCTCGCATATTTCTAGTTGTACCAAATCCTTTACTGTTCGGTTTGACTTTAAATAAGTATAATGTATATATATATATATATATATTTCAATTTCTCACAGTAGGCATCATTCCTCTCCTCGTATCTCGTGACTTCTTATGAATCTGCATATATTTTCGTTTTTATCTAATTTTACGAGCCCGATACAAGTGATTTCGTTGCTGTTTTCTTCAGTTGCATGACCACTTTTTATCATGCTTTCTGACTTTTATGTTTCCTATATTAAACAATATATTTTCTTTTCAGTCCCTAATGTTTAACAATACTGGTTAAAAATAAACAAAAACACGTGGTATTACAATACTGGATCTACGTGGCACGTTGATTTTACGCCCTATCGTGTAATTCAAGATACACTCTTTTCTTGTACATAAGCGGATAAGTACTGCATAAAATAACTGCGCCTACTTCTCAAGTGTCTGTAGTCTTACTTAGCAGTCAGCCAACATATTGTGTTTTTTGTTTGTTACAATACGTATAAATAAACTTGCAGATTATTAGAGGGTTAACGACTTCATGGTACTATCTATTACGGAACAACTGACCTAATTTCTTCAGGAAAGTTTCGCTTACTTTAATTAGGTCAAAGTAACTTTATTAACACAACGATTGGACATTTATTCTGGTAAACAATAGCACCGTGACCAAAGTCCCACGAAATGTTCTGGTACAATGAAAACAGAGTTTATTTTCTCTACTGACATATGTGACTTTTTTTTTTATAACGTCTCTCCTATATTGAAAAACAATATATATATATATATATTAATCTCACACAGTTCACACACTTTGAGACAAGATTTAAAAAGTTACACAATTGCACAACTATTAAAAGAGTTAAATGTAATAATGCTTTGTGAAAACCAGCTAGTAAATAGTAGGAACCTATCTGATTATGAGTTTTTGTTTTTCCTTTGAACATGTGCTTCTATACTATAAAAATACTGAAACAAAACGTTATATTAAGTCTGAACTGCAAAGTACACATTCTATAAAATATTCATTATGTATATATATATATATATGATACATGGAGTAGTTATTGAATAAATGCTCGAGTAGTAACATAGAAGGTAGCGTATGGTTGGACAAACATGTACGATATATTATTCTGGTCTGTATAAGTTGTTTTGAGCATTTGTTCGTCAAAACACACATACATACCTGTTTTGTATAAAAGGGTGTGTTTTGGGTATAATCTTTTTCGAAACAGATCGGCGCTTTGTTAAGAAAATTTCTCTGTACTTGATGTAGAGTCATGTTTCGTCACGTGCCAGAAGTTAAAGGGCTCAAATGAATGGTAGGAAGCAAACAGACATTGTCAGAACAGTAGGATACCTCCAGTGTACTGTATCCAGAATCCTGAAACGTCATCGGATTACAGGAAACTTTGTTCCAGGAAAGTCTACTGGTAGACGCTGAAAACTACTGCCCGAGATGACCGTGTTTCGATCATCAAGATCGAAAAGAGTCTTGTAACACCTTACGACAGGAATGGCATGAACACATTCATTCTATGGTATCCAGAAGAACAATGAACAAACACGATTATTTTGCAAGAAGGACTATCTGCAAACCGATATTAACCAGAATTCACTGCCGTCACCGTGTTACTTGGGCAAGATAGCATGCCAACTTACAGTTAGGACACTGGCAACATGTCATCTTTTCAAATGCGTCCTGTTTCAGGCCTTTTAAAACTGATGGCGGGATTCGTGTTCGTCGTTTGCCTGGAGAACAGATGAGAGAAGACTGTCTTTCCCACAGGGAACAGACAGGAAGTGGTGCAGTACATATTTGGGTAGCCATTCATCATAGTGGAAAACTACTCTTCATATCCTCCAGGGAAACGTCAATGGCACCTCCTACAGGCGTCACATGGAAATGATATTTCTGCCATATTCTAAGGGCGAGATTTAGCAATAACTTTGTTTTCCAGGATAACAATGACACTGCCCACAGTGCACGTATTGTACATGATTGTCCTGACCAGGAGGTCGTTACAATATTGTCATGGCCAGAAAAGTCTCCAGATTGTAATCCCATTGAGAACTGAGCCGAAAATTGCTAACCAGCGCCTTCTAGTGAAAAGTTGGGATGAAATCATGGAGTATTACATCAATAACCTCATCGTCAGCATGCCTCATCACTTTACGAAGGTTATTAGAGTACTAGAGGGAACAACCAAGTACTAAGTGTTTAATATGAACTGATATAAGGTTACAGACGCTATTGATAACAATTGGATGTTATATTTCGTCATTATATATATGTTTTGGTAAGTTGTTATTGTGATAGGTGAAAGGGTGAATTACACATCTTTCTATAGGTGTTTGATAAAAGTGTTTGCTATTCTAATAAGTCGTTCCTGATGTCCATAAAACCTGTCTCATTATACAAATTACGTATGTAGATGTTAATATAACATGTATTTTTCAGTGTGTCAGCACTAAGTGTATTTGAATTACATCTTAATAATAATGATCTTATTTGTTACAAAATATGCAAACATTTTGGCCAAGACTGTATAAATTAACAGATAATCAAAAACTTAGTAAAAATTGAGTTTAAGGTAAATTGTTTATAAATTGGTAGATTACGACGCCGTTAGGTAATAGAACTACTGACCCACGTATGATGCACACAACTGGCGAAAAAATGGTGTTTTTCTGCCAGAGTGACGTTCGCAGATCACATAAACCAATGGTGAATGAGGTAACAGGTAAGAATGCATTTCCTTAACCAATTATTATGATTTAATTACTATTTCCACTACCTGACACCACTTGTAGTATTTGGTGTGCTGCTACTAAATATAAGTACAGGGATTTAGTACGTTATATTAAAGCGATATTAAAGTCCCTGTCGCCCTGAAGCGTAGTTACTATTGAAATAAGCTGTATCATGAGATAATCATGTCCAAATCTCGCTATTCCTCTCTATGCTGTTGATAATCCATCAAGTGTAAGAGGAAGATGGTTTCCCAGGGCCCATTTGATAGACTGATCGCACAGAAATCCATACGTGCTGCGTTCAGCTACTTGGCCAGTATGACTTCGCATGAAATAACATGAATACTCATTTCCCACTTCAGTTCTTTTAGATATGCGACGATTGAACGGATGTGTCATGGAAGCAACTTGTATATATGTGAACTGTGTGGCTATTATAGATGGAGAAATTCCTTAATGAAATTATGGGCTGTTGCCTGGGGCAAGTGAACATTGATTGACCCGTATGTTCGTGGATTCTCATATTTTACAAGACGTCAAGCTTTGGTTATCACGACTGGGTTACGACTTGTTGCAGGTCTCTTTTTAGATGGTACTGGTTCCAAAATTTGATCCATATTCTATTGTTTTCAAATGTTATTAAATACAAGACATATCCCTGTCATAAAAATTCTGAATCCCCCATTTGAGCATATCCATATGATATAAGTGTATGAATACTTTGCGTCGGAAAGTGCTGTCACACATCCAGCGACAAAAGTTTGACGGTACCACACTACTTATGAACGCCAAACATTGTGAAAATGTATTTCTGATTCATTTCGTTTCACCACAACTTTATATAACCAGTGGTTATTACGTGACTAACACTACTTACGAACGCCAAACATTATGAAAATGTATTTCTGATTCATTTCGTTTCACCACAACTTTATATAACCAGTGGTTATTACGTGACTAACACTACTTATGAACGCCAAACATTGTGAAAATGTATTTCTGATTCATTTCGTTTCACCACAACTTTATATAACCTGTGGTTATTACGTGACTAGTTGATATGCACATTCAAAACCCTTTTAATATAATGTACTTAAGCTCCGTATTGTTGTTTTTCTATTAAGTAATATTGTTTTTTTTTAAAAAATATCGTAAGCTGTGTATATTGCATATATAAATTTGAGATGATAATTAAATCAAAAACAGCACAACGTTATTGAAGTCTAAGCAACATTGCTAGAGATAATTATATCAAATAGCCTAGTGAATTATAATTTCTGATTTAAAAACAATTCTGAAAATGAAATATTTTGATTAAAATAAAAACAATTTTGTTTTAGCGCAAAGCTACACAATAGGCTATCTGTGCTTGGTTCACCGCGAGGTATCGAACCCCGGATTTTAGATTTGTAAGTTCTTAAACTGGCCGCTGACCCACCGATGGACCAAAAAAGGAGAACTTGTAATTCTAAGTCGGAAGAAGTTATCTTTTTTTAGTTTCTGCCATTTTGCACCAAATAATAATTTTCTACCGTGAAAATAACAATAAAAATATTGTTCACATTAACATACTTTTTTTTTAATTTTGCGCAAGGCCACTCGAGGGCTATCTTCGCTAGTCGACCCTAGTTTGGAAGTGATAGACAAAATGGAATGCAACAACAACACCCACCGCCAATTCTTAGGCTACTCTTTAAAAATGAATAGTTGGACTGACTCTCACACTATAACGTCCTCACATTTGAAATGCGAGCATGTTCGGTGAGGAGATTCGAACCTGCAACTCCCAGATTGAGAGTCTATGCCAGACACGTACAATTGAAACAGTGGTGAAGTTTATTTTATACAGTTTTATATTCTATACATGTATTTGTGTATCATGCAATAGTTGTAAAACATATCATAATGTTGGGAAAATTTTTAAGTTTTGTAAAAGATTGGAAGTGGGAGACAAATGATATTCATTTACTTGTCTGTCGTTTTAAATATATAATTATCATATCATTCGATTATATTTATGTTAGAAAATGTATAAATACTGTAATGGATTGTAAGTGTAAATAGATGACACGTGAAAGCTTTTTTTAAGCCTCGAAAGTTTAAAAAACTTTTGTTGTTGTTGCAGAAGTCCTGTCAAGATCTCGAAGAGCCACTATCGGTGCGTGTATCTGCGATTGCTTTTGTTAAAGATAACAATTTTCTTACCTTCAAAAAATCTTAACACATATATATCATTTCCTTGCATCTTTATAATCTCTAGAAGACGGAAGGCTACCGTTAGTCAACAACACTACACAGTATTATTAATAACCTACAGCGTTTCAAGCTGATTTTGGTTTGTTTTTACTCCATTTTAGTTTGCGAAATATCATCCTATGAATTAAAATGTAATTACTTTTTCTTTCTATATATACGATCAAAAACTTAATAAATGTTCTACATTTTACAAATATTATTTATTTCACATGAATGTTTAGTCTTCTTAGAGGAGAACGAGTTCAAAGGTAAAACTGATAATAATTAAACAGTGCTGAATAATGATACTTAGGCCCGGCATGGCCAGGTGGTTAGGGAGCTCGACTCGCAATCTGTGGGTCGCGGGTTCGAATCCCCCGTCCCACCAAACATGCTCGCCCTTTCAGCCGTGGGGGCGTTATAATGTTACGGTCAATCCCACTATTCGTTGGTAAAAGAGTAGCCCAAGAGTTGGCTGTGGGTGGTGATGACTAGCTGCCTTCCCTCTAGTCTTATACTGCTAAATTAGGGACGGCTAGCGCAGGTAGCCCTCGTGTAGCTTTGCGCAAAATTCAAAACAAACAAACAATAATGATACTTACACTTTACAGGACAGTCGTTCATAATGATCAGATGAGATTAAACTAGTAGGTACTTGGATGTTGTTTCGTTCCGCTACACAAACAGCCTATGGGGGTAATGCTGACAGCTGTGATTTAGGCTATCTTATGTCATCTTATTTATGCAACAAGTTTGTTTGTTTGTCGAATTTTTGAGCAAAGTTACTCGAGGGCTATTTGCGCTAGCCGTCCTTAACTTTAAAGTAATAGAGTAGAGGTAAGGCACTACCCACAGCCATTTCTTGAGCTGCTGTTTTATCAACGTGTAGTAAGATTGAGCGTCACAAATTAAACGCCTTCACAGTTGCAAAGGTGAACTTTTCGACGACGGGTTTTCATCCCGCGACACGCAGATTGCTAGACTGGGGCTTTAACTATCAGACTATGCTAGGCCCAAGGCAGAAACTTCTTACGAGACAAAAATTCAAATGGGGGTTAGTCAAGATAAGCAACCAATCAACGACGTGTGACTCATTATCCTTTATCTGTTGGTTGTGGACGTCAACATTTCGATAAACCAGTAATCAACAGATTTGAAAAATAAATTTAAAATGAAATTCAACAGAATTGAAAACTGACTTTCTATGCCCAATTCTACATTTTAGCATGAATTGTTTATCAGATTTATAAATATTGTACTAAATATTTTATGGTTTAAAATTCCAGTACGAAAAAGCATTGAACCCTGGTTATAAAACATAAAAATTAACCAGTTTACTATATATAACACCTCGCAAAAAGCATTGAACCCTGGTTATAAAAATATAAAAAAATGAACCAGTTTACTATACAGAACACCTCGCAAAAAGCATTGAACCCTCGTTATAAAAATATAAAAGAATTAACCAGTTTACTATACAGAACATCTAGCATATTTACTTGCATACCTTATGTGGAAAACTAATATACAAAGGTGTAAAAGTAAGCTTTATCGTTTTACCAATCATTATTGCTGGAAACACGTAAAAGCTGCGTTATTTTTCAATTCACTCACGGTTTAGTAAAACACTGCTGAAAACCTTGTCATCTCATACTCTGTATTGCTACTGGCCTCGAGATTTCAATGAAAGTTGTTAATCTGATAGTTCAACAATTTAGCGCTGGGCACTTAATTACTGCGAAATTACACCCGGAAGACCTTCTACCGTCACGTCAGGCGCAGAACAAGCTTTGTCAATAGTTGCCGAAATGACAGTCTTAAGCCATAGTGCTCTGGGCTAATCCTCTTACAAGGACTCGGGAATAGTGGTCTTGCACTAACGTCAAAATTTCACGTGGTCTATAGTTTCTGCCTTATTGGAAATCAAGTGTTATACTCGTCTTAAGTGGAAAACTGCACACTTATCTTCTAAGATAAAGCTATGTAACCCACTCTAGCGATGTGCATAGAAAATATATATCGGAAAACAGACTAATTATATATATATATAGGGTTTCGGATCCTTATATTTTACAAAAGGTGGTGTTTACCCCACTGACAGCGCGTAAAGCTTTACTTTATCTTGTATTATTATTGATGTTAGAATGAAATGTTTGACGTCCAATATGGCAGCGTTGAAGAAAACACGAAGTTTTATGACGTCAGGGGAAAACCTCTATACCAGACGGTTTCCTAAAAAAAAAAAGCCACTAATGACGGCAGTGTACAAAGGGCATTCACTTGATTAGTGCAACATGATGATTGACAAATCCACTTGCATACTGGTGGTTCGCAGTCTTTTCAGATGAGTCGATTTTCCACAGTTCACACATTCTGGATGCACGTGGGTCTGCAGAAAATTTGGGGAGCCTTTTGACCAATTGTGACGACAGTCAGTTGTCAAGTACAGAAGTTTCAGAATCATGGTTTAGACAGGTATTTGTTACGACTGTAAAACGACTCTTGCATTTGCTCCAGGTCACATCATTTCCAAAGAAAACATATATATTTTGTAGAAAACCTCTTCCATTTATTTGATTAAAAAAATTCTGTACTATACATTCAGATAACGAAATATTAATTATCAACTGGTTTTTTTAGCCTTCGTTATGGTTGTTAATCTGCTGCCTTCTTTAGGAAAGTCCTAGGAAAAGCTTATTTCTGTGTTGGTGGTGGCTGAGATTCGGTCCTGGGTCTTTTTAATGAAAGTCTAGTTCGTTCTATGCTAGGCTGACTAGGTGTGTTATCAGTTAGGTATATATGGAAGGCTAATTTATATTTATATTTTTTGTATGTTGTTAATATCATATTACTTTACTATTATTCCAGTTTATCGCATTACTGGCTATTGCTGATAAATCGATATTACCAACACCTTGTATGACTATCTTGTGTCTGAATTCATATTTTTTATGGTCATTTTGTTTCTAAAACACAGTTGTTTGTATCTTTTTTCTTCATTGGGTCTTTAGGTAGTTTAATGTGTACTGATTATGATCGTATTGTGTTGTGGCTTCTGAATATTATTCTGTTTTTGTGGTGTTCACTTTGCTTTCTACATCCACCTAACTGATAAAACATTTAGTCAACCTAGCATAGAAATCAGCAAAGCATGAATACCTTTTGAAAACATTCAAAGAGTTAGTTGATTTAAGATTAATGGCGAGTCTTCTAGTCGAGTGAATAACGTAACAATACTCCGTCGAGAAGACTCAGACTACTAACAACACAAAAATAGTCTTCCTCAGGACTTCGTTGAAGACGTCAACAGATGAGCAGCCGAAAAAAGATAGAAGAAAAACTAGTTAGTAATTAGTATCTAGTTATATAAAATAATTATTAATTAGACTTAGGTGGTCGTATGTACGACATATATATATATTATGAGGGTATTTTAAACCAATAATGTTTTTGATTATATAATAAAAATGTTCTACTCCTTGCCAACGTTACTGGTGAAAGATGCTCATTTGACAATAATATATATATATATATATATATATAT